CCCCCCCCCGCCCGGGGAGCCGTGCAGCAGCTCCCCACCCCAGCTCACTTCTGCTCCGCCTCCTCCCCAAGCACGCTGTCACTGCTCCACTTCTCCCGCCTCCCAGGCTTGCGGCGCCAATCAGCTGTTTGGCGCCACAAGCCTGGGAGGGAGAGAAGCAGAGCGGGGCGGCGTGCTCAGGGGAGGAGGCAGAGCAGAGGTGAGCTGGGGCAGGGAGTTCCCCTGCGTGCCGCCCCCCCCTTACTTGCTGCAGGTGGCCCTCCCCACACCCCTCTGCCCCAGCTCCCTCCGCCTAAATGCCGACGACGACCGGGGCAGCCGAAGATCCGGCCGCCGCTGAAGAAAATGCCACCCCCCAAATGCTAGCACCCTAGGCGACCACCTAGATCGCCTAATAGGTTGCACCGGCCCTGACCCCCAGGGGTATATGTCTCCTTGGTCGAGAACCACTGCTCTAGGGAAGGGTTGGAAGAGGCCCCATATGACTGTTGGCATGTTCTGAGCTGAAGCTGTGATTAATTTGTTTCTAAAAGGCAACCCTTAATGTGGGGTGTTGAAGGACTGCTCCTTCCAGAGCCCATGTTAGGTCTGGGGTGAGGATTGGTCCGTTTATTAGGATGTGTGTAGATTCTTTTATTGTTTTAGTATGTTTTTTCTGTAATGATTTGTACCTTAAGAATAAAGTAGGTTTGCATAGGAAGTGCTGTATGATACCTTATAAGTGCAACAATTACACCTGTTAACCATCCCTAAAGAGAAAGCACGTAGGTGCCATTGGGCAACTTGTCTGTGCTGGGAGTAACACAGTGAAGGCAGGGAACTGTGCAGCCTGGAGATACTCCAGTCAGAAGGGAGAGAGATATGGGTCTCTGCCCAGAACAACTAATGACTGGGAGAGCTGGTAACTTGAGAACGGTTCCCCTTGCTGGACTGTAGAGGGGGAATACAGGTGCAGTTGCCCTAAACTGTGACACTATGCAAGAGGATTTTTTTCCCACAAAAGGTCAATCTGTCTCTGTTTTTGGTTAGAAAGTTTGTGGGTATATCGGCAGCTGTCTATATGAGCAGAAGAAGGGCAGATATTGACGTATACTTACATGTTAATAAGCAAGAGTGTGAAGTTAAGAACATACACGCTTACCATTAAGTTTTTGAGAAATCTGATGATGGCCTGTGTGTGTGTGTTTGGAGTCCTGTCTTAATCAGTTGGATACACACAATTCCTTATTTCCAGTTGCACTAGTTGTTTAAATTGTACTTCGGAAAATAATTCTCTTTGTGCACATCATTGCATCAGCACTTAAAATGTATTTTTTTTAAAAAACTTAGCCTTCTATACATACAGATACATGTGCCATCTTGGTGCAGTAACTCAGCAAGTGAGAAGTAGGATATGTATACAATTATAGCTGAGATGAATTGTGTACATAATTTGGTGGTCTTTAAAATTACAGGGCACTGGAATGTCTGAATGTTGAAGGAAATCAGCTTTGTGCTTTGCCTTGTGAGGTTTTGAAACTTCCCCTGAAACTCCTTTACACAGAAAATAATTTAATGCATCCCTTCTTATGGAAAGAGAACAGCCAGAACCAACCACAAAGACTTACTGATCTGGCTGCCCTTTGCTTCTCCAGAAACAACATGTGGCAAAGATATACTGAGATCTCAAAGGATATTCAAGAAATATTAAACACGTAAGTGACAGAAATCTCCAGCTGCCACTCTGGCTTCCATGGGAGTTTTGGTTACACAAGAAACGTACCAATGGCCCCTAATCACTTATTCTGGCAATGTCAGAACGACACCAGCTTTAGTCCTGGTAATGTGTACTTTCTCCATCATGAAACCATCTCTGTAGATCTCCACTGTAGGAGCTGCATGCCATGCATTGTGAGCCACAGAATAGGCTAAGAGAAGTTATTGACATCTTCACATTAAACTAAAATAATGCTGATCAATAATATTGCTGTTACTTATTGGTCAATATATAATAAGTCCCATGCAGGTATACTAAGCTATGTATCTGAATGCGTACCAGACCTATGTATTTTTGATAATACATGGAGCTGTACATTTAATCAAGTTCATCAAACATCATGTGCAAATAATTGCGTTGATCCATTTAACTAGCTTAGGGTTCTGTATTGCCACCTATCACTATAGTATATTCCAGCCAGAAATGTTTGCTGCAGCCTCATGTTGAGGCTGTGCACTGAACCAGTCTGTTCAAGAGAGCTGTGAGCTTCAGAACAACCTAAGTTGAAAGAAATACCAGCTCCATTTCTGGGAGTGGCAGCGCTATCTCCACCCATGCACTGCATCTCTCTATCTTCATTTTGTCTGCCTCAGACTTCCACTTCTCCTCCTTCCCCACTGGAGCCATACAAGAATGAGAGCAGCCTGCACCACAATGTAGTTCAGGAAATGCAGGAACTTTCCATAACCATCAGTCTCAGAATCAATCTGAGGCCAGCTAGATCCCTTAATTTCTAGTTGAGGATGCAGAAAGTGAACTGGAATGTACTGTGTGTATATAGTCATGTGCAATGTTTCTAACTCATTTTTCTCTCCATCTTAGCTGTAGAGTCTGTGACTGCTGCAAAGGACCCTTGTATGGTCAAGGACTTCGTCTCATTCGATCTTGCAGGAACATATTTAGATTCCGCAGACTTCCTTTTCTCTTTAATGCCTGCTCACCATCCTGTTACAGCAGCTTCATGTCTCAGACTGACTCTTTGACTCGAATGCTTTATGGAAATTGATCTGGGTTGCAGCAGAGAAACCGATGATATAATGCAGTTAAGAAATATGAGGTCTTGTAGGTCATGTTGTACAAGAAAATAGCTTGTGATACTGGAATGTTTAGGATCACTTTCTCTGTGCAATTATCATATACTCCTTAAGCTGCTTTCTGGCCTAAATGTTCTATTTTTATTTGGAAAGGAGTCTTTGTTTAGGTTTGTTTGGGATCACTCACTAGCCTTCTCGTGTGCTGTGTAGACAGACCCATAGTTCCCAGAGGAGTAGTGTGGATGTAACCTGGTTTTGATTTGAATAGAACATGATTAAAGTATGCTAGTAAAACTGCTTTTTTCCACTGGTATAAAAAGTGCTTTAAAGTGCTACACTATCTGCCACATACAAGACACTAAGTTGGCTATTAGTAATTGTTAAATGCACAATTACAAAAAGGTGCCTCTTGAACATGTCTGCAACCCAGACTTAATATACTGTTGGTAATCCAGGTGCAGAGTCTGTATGTGGGCTAAAATTCTCAAAAACAACTAATGATTTTTGGATACCCAACTGGAGACAACTCAAGGAGGCCTGATATTTCAGAAAGTGCTGAGCACTCAGTCCGAAAATCAGACCTTGTTAAATTGTCTCAGGTTGGCATCCAAAATCACTAGTTGCTTTTGGAAATCTTGGCCGTAGTGCATATTTTATTACGAATAGCTTTGATAAAGGAAATTCACACTAAAGTGAAGTTTGCTAGATAGTGTTCTCATTTATTTGAACACGAGAGACTCCAATAGTCTAATGTCTGGCCGATTACATGTATGTATATGTTTGTATAGTCCTTAATTATTTTAATGTGAAAATCTAAGATAGGAGATTGCCAAAGGAACCCTGTAATTTGTATTTAAAGGAATTTTTGGGCTATGTCTGCTTTTAATAACATTGTATATAATGTGACATTGTCAAATACAAAACATTGGTTGGTGGAAAATTAATAAAAAAATTAAACTTAAGGGCAGGAGAAAAATTTGCTCTGCAAATTTCAGAAGATTGTCTGTCAGATTTCCTAAGTAGGAAGTCTGAATTTCTTCACCCTCAGTCGCCAGTTTTGATTTGATGGGCTTGCTGTCCTCAAAATGACTAGTAGCAGCAGCAGCCAATAGGAGCACACGGTTTTGGTGGCATCTGTGGAGAGATCTTTTATGGCTGATGTCTTTCCCCCAAATCTCCTCTATTTCAGGGAAGTATAGTCACAGCAGAAATAATTGTAGTTCAGCATTTTGCTTGTTTGAAGTCGTAATGGTGTGTTTATCCTACACAGGCCATGAAGGGGTTAATGTGGGCCTGAGAGACCAATTTTAACCCACATGGTTGCAACTGGAGGGTGAGCCAGACATAATTAGAGAAGAAGCCAAACTGGGTTGTGGTTATTAGAAAGAGAGGGAACCCACAGTAGAAGAATGCTGTGGGGGGAGAAAAAGTAAGTCTTCAGTCTCTCTCTGGGACTAGAGAGATCAGGACAGTTGAGGAGTAAGCCCTGGGATCCTTGCCTGTGTGTAGAGAAGGCTGGTATATGGCCAGGAGAGACAGGGAGCAGCCACTGGGGTGGAGCTGGTTCTAGAGGTATGCCCTGAAAGAAAGCAACATCTGGACTTCTAAGGAGGGAGTCCTGGGAGTCAGTCAGGGAATACAGCAGGGGAACTGAAAGAGGGATGAAAGGTCAAGCCCAAGGAAGGCAGAAGTGGGGTTAAATTTTAATTGTGGGTTTGGGATTTTGTTGGGGGATTCCAGGTGAGGGCCCTGAAAGTAGGAATAACCTAGAGAGGTTGTAGGGGAGAAGGCATGAGTGAGGTAAGGAAGAAGTCTAAGGTCTGGTCTGCACTACAGACCTATGTTGGTATAACTACATCACTCAGGGGTGTGAAAAATTCACACCCCTGAGCGACATAGTTATACCAACCTAACCTCCTGTGTTGACAACACTATGTTGGTGGGAGAACTTCTCCCATCAATGTAGCTACCGCCTCTCAAGGAGGTGGATTAACTACACCCACAAGAGAGTTCTCTCCTGTCAACTTACAGCATCTTCATTAAAGTGTTGCATTGGCCAACTTGCGCTGCTGTAGCATTTTAAGTGTAGATGTGCCCTAAGGAGGTGACAGCAAGAAGTCTGGGGCTGTGAACTTTGCCAGTCTGACCTATGGTCCCTGGACTGGAGCCCAGTGGAGTAGGAGGGCTGGGTTTCCCTACCAGCCACTGGTAAAGTGGTGTGAAGCTCTGAGAAAGGGCCAAGGATGATGGAGAGTCCTGAAAGAAAGGTGGGAGGACTACAGGTTTCTGAGGACTGAAGAACTTTTTATCAGCATATTTGAACTTTAATTTGTTGGACTTTATTACCCCAAAAGGGCTGAGACTAAACTGACCTGTACACATGGGGGAATTCTGCACCTAAAAATTCTGCACAAAATATTCTGCAAAATTCTGCATATTTTATTTGTCAAAATAACACAATATAATCATGCCACTTTCAATTATTTTGGTAATTTATTTCAAAATACCTGTTGACAAGTATGTCTGTAACAATACAAACAACAAAAAAGATTCAGGAAATGTTTTCTGACAAATAGATTCCTTACTAGGCATATTAATACAGAACTTTGAGTAATAATTCATTTAAACTACTATACAGAAACGTATTTCCAGCACCCCTCAGAAGCAGTGCAAAGGCTTGGGGGAGTCAGGGGTAATGGAGGAGCTGAGGGAGAGGGAAGTAAGTGCTGGGAAGGAGCCTGGGAATGAAACTGGAGGCTTGTTTTGTGCGGGTGGGAGAAGTATACAAGGTTTTTTTGGGGTGGGGGGGATTGTCAGGGAGTTGGGAGCCTCCCCCATGCAGCCCCTAGATGACTGCTAACTGCTCCCGTTCAGTCAGGCACATCTGCTCCTGTGCCCATGTGTCCCTGCACCCCCACCTCAGCCACCCTTCCTCCCCGTGTGTCCTTGCACCCCCCGACTAAGCTTCCCCTTCTCCCCATATGACTCTGCACCCCCACTCAGCCAACCCCCACCCCCATGTATCCCTGCACCGCCACTCAGCCAATCCCCACCCCCATGTGGCCCTGCCCCTATGCCCCCCATCGCCATGTGTCTCTGCACCCCCAGTCCCATTCAGTCCCCCAGTCTATGTGACCCACCCCAGCAGCCCTGTGTGCCCCGCTCTGTCTGTCCCTCCCCCCCCCATATCATATGCCTCCTCATCTGGCCCCGCGGACAGGGCGCTGTGAAAAACACAGCCTCTCCTCCTCCCTATTGGCTGCTGGCTGCTACAGTGAGCCAGCTGCTCTCTGTTCTGGTGCCACAGCAGCCCCTGGTGGGTGAAAGTTGTAACTGCAGCTCCTCTCAAGCAGAATGTATTTTCTGCAGAAAAAAATAAATCTGTGGGGGACATGAAGTCTGTGTGTGTGCAGTGGCGCAGAATTCCCCCAGGAGTAAACATGGCCAAAGGGACAAGTGATGGGAAGAGAGCTCAACACAGGGCTGAAGCAGCTGTCAGCAGGGGGCACCAGATGGGGAAAAGCCTGTTACACCACACCCAGCCACAAGGGGGCACACCAACAGTGAGAGAGTGCTTCAGCAAAAGGCTTCCTCTCCCACTATATCCCCAGATATGTTTTCAGCCTTGCTTATTAGAGCAGTGTAAACAACTCAGCAAAGCGGGCTTGATCCTTAGTTGCAGATGATCAGTGAACTTTGTTAATGTCAATGGAACTATGAGCATTTACAACAGCTAAAGATATGGCCCAGGTTTTTTTTTCAGAGGTGGCAAACTATCTGCCACACCCTTACACTAGGCTCTTAAAAGATGTGGTGAACCAAAAGGAACATTTTCAAATGTCAACTGACTTTGGGTGCTCCTGTTTTTGGTTGCCCAATTTAACACACCTAAATCCTGACTTTCAGAGGTGTGGGGTAACTACTTTTGCCACTGGTTTCATTTGGACTTGGGAATGTTTTATACTGCTGAAAAAGAGGCCACGGAGGACAGGCTAGACAACAGTTCCATTTTGCAACAGATGTTGAGGCTTTGACATTTTTTTCATTCTGATACAGAACAAAAACAAGCACTCTTGAAATCTTTCAAGAGAGACTGACCAATGCACCCCAGAACAGCCTGGAGGTTAGAGCACTCAGACTCAGGTAGAGAACATAAGAACATAAGAACGGCCGTACCGGGTCAGACCAAAGGTCCATCTAGCCCAGTATCCTGTCTACCGACAGTGGCCAATGCCAGGTGCCCCAGAGGGAGTGGACCTAACAGGAAATGATCAAGTGATCTCTCTCCTGCCATCCATCTCCATCCTCTGACAAACAGAGGCTAAGGACACCATTCCTTACCCATCCTGGCTAATAGCCATTAATGGACTTAACTACCATGAATTTATCCAGTTCTCTTTTAAACGCTGTTATAGTCCTAGCCTTCACAACCTCCTCAGGTAAGGAGTTCCACAAGTTGACTGTGCGCGCCGTGAAGAAGAACTTCCTTGTATTTGTTTTAAACCTGCTGCCTATTAATTTCATTTGGTGACCCCTAGTTCTTGTATTATGGGAATAAGTAAATAACTTTTCCTTATCCACTTTCTCCACATCACTCATGATTTTATATACCTCTATCATATCCCCCCTTAGTCTCCTCTTTTCCAAGCTGAAAAGTCCTAGCCTCTTTAATCTCTCCTCATATGGGACCCGTTCCAACCCCCTAATCATTTTAGTTGCCCTTTTCTGAACCTTTTCTAGTGCCAGTATATCTTTTTTGAGATGAGGAGACCACATCTGTACGCAGTATTCGAGATGTGGGCGTACCATCGATTTATATAAGGGCAATAATATATTCTCAGTCTTATTCTCTATCCCCTTTTTAATGATCCCTAACATCCTGTTTGCTTTTTTGACCGCCTCTGCACACTGCGTGGACATCTTCAGAGAACTATCCATGATGACTCCAAGATCTTTTTCCTGACTTGTAGCTAAATTAGCCCCCATCATATTGTATGTATAGTTGGGGTTATTTTTTCCAATGTGCATTACTTTACATTTATCCACATTAAATTTCATTTGCCATTTTGTTGCCCAATCACTGAGATCTTTTTGAAGTTCGTCACAGTTTGCTTTGGTC